TATATATATAATATACCCACTGCATATCAACAAGAGATGATTCAACCGTTCGAATATTCTCACAGGATCATCAATGTTTTAATGTGAAAGAATGGTACGTTCTTTACGGTTTCCTCCATTCCTTTTTACTTCCATCCAAGTTGCACTTGCCAAAAGTTTTGCTATCAGAATGACCAATTTACTTATTCCTTTTATTTTATACCTATTTAGAAATCTCAAAGTTAAGACATTCCTTTTGGCAATGATATTTTCCCATAGGTCAAAGCCACTGTGATGCTTTGATTCTTTGTTGTTTTTTTAGGGGAGAGGGGTGGTTGTTGCTTTTTTGTCCTTCGTTTAATGAAGGCATGTTGTAGTCTCTACAGTGACTTACGCCTTTCAAAATATCTGTTCCTTGTATTATCTAATTCTATCATGACCTAATGTATCTGGTAGTTAGGAAACATTCAAAACTACTTTGAAGGACTAAAGCTATAATACTGTCGGGGGGCTGTGTCGAGTTTCGATATAAGATATATCTTTCCAGCCAGAACATGAATCTAGTGAAACACTCACTTTAGTTTTAGGTACTGGTAGTAGTCTTTGACGGAGAATGATTTATGAACCCTTAATGCCGTGTTTTACATTTTCCAGGCCCAAGAGTTGTGTGGAAATAACCTTTTCTGTCTACAAGACTACTTCCTTCATCAGAAGAACGACTCAGCCGAGGAAGTGCTAGCCATTTCTAACTCAGTGGACCAGGAGAAAGGAAAACTGGGTATGGAGTTTTCTGCAGTGATTTGACAAAACGAATTTTTTGTTGTTGTTGCTCCAATTTTTTTTTTAATTTTGCCAAATCGATAGCTTGAACAGCTACCCTACTTGTGTGAAAATCGAAGTGAAACAGTGGATAGTTTTTAGATAAATTAGAATTCAAATTTTAAAAGAACGCCTTTTCTTTGGTTACGCTGACAAAATACCGTTTTTCTCGAAACTGCGGTGAATTAAAAAAAGGGCGTTTGTCAGCATATTACGGCAGTTGTTTGGACATTTGCACTGTAAATGTCGTTATTCATCTCTGATGCAGAATCGTTACATTGTGCTGTTTACTTTATTTTATTTCTTTGGCGCTGTGCTGTGGTTACTCTCAGTATTATACTCTTATACTCGTAAGTCAGTACACTTCTTCTACTTAGTGTCAGACCGATTAGCCCATTACATCATTTTTATCACGAGACATCAAATGTAGACAGATACAAACCACACAGAAAAAGGATGCAGGACGG